GCTCCCCACGGGAGCCTTCCTCTTGGGCCGTGTGTTAGATCAGAAGGCGTGGGTTCAGGAAAGCTGCTCTTGTGCTGTGGGCGTTCAAGCTCCTCAGCGCTCTTCTCATGCAGGAGACCGCGAGGTGGGGGAGCTGCTGATGGTGCAGGCCCCTTTAGAATCAGGGAATTCCATTTGGTTGGTTAACAGAAAAGGAGCCCTGGGAACTGCGCCTTAATTACTGGAAGACAACTGCTTGCCTGCTGGAGAAAGATCTGTAAGAGGTGGCTGATCCCAAACTGCCTCGCACCTCATGTCCCCCGCTGTCCAATCCAGCCTGGGATTGCCAGACGCAAAAGGAAGGAGACTCGCACAGGAGTCTGCACCAGCCAATGTTTACTGATTTAATCACTACATTTGAATTAGTCATTTGTGTATTTGTGTGGGCGTGTGCACACGCATCCACATACTAGTCCTAGCGCTTAAACTCAGGCCTAGGCACTGTCCTTGGGCTTTTTTGCTTAAGGCTAGTGCTCTACCACATGAGTCACAGCTCTACTTCTGATTTTTTGGTGCTTAATTAGAGATCAGAGTCTCATGGACTTTGCTGCTTGGGCTGGCTTCGAACCACGATTCTCAGATCTTGGCCTCTTGAGTAACTAAGTACTACTAGTTTTTGCCAAGAAACAACGGGATTGTAATTCTTAGGCAGAGCAGATATGAAAGCCGCCCAGGCAAGCCGTGTGCCTTCCTGGAACCCCTTCCCTCACAAGGAGCTGTATCTGTAACCCCCCCCCCCATCCACGGGCAGCTTTCCGACCTGCTTCCCCCCCTCTTGTCTCTTACTGCATGCTGCTTTTTCTCATGTGATGCTTGGCCCAGAAAAAGACCCAAGGAAACTTAGTGATGAGGAAAGATGAGCTCCAGCCTTGCCTCCCCAGTGAGGGTGCGAGGACTGCCCACCCACACACGGGCAACGAGGAGGCGGGGCGCAGGCCCACACAGCGCAGATTGTCTTCTGTTTTGTGGAGAGAACATTGCTCTGTGCGCTGAATTGGAAGGTTATGTACACAGTATTTCCAAAAGACCTCGGCCTTTCTTGGCTTGGCAAGAAAATGTGTAAGTAGCTGTCAGGCTGCAGCCACACCAGACTTTGTTCTGCAGTCCCCTGGCCTTACCTTCCACCTCTCCCTTGTGCCCTCCTCAGGAGGTGTTCAGGACAGCCGGCCCCCGTAATGTGCTAATAGTAATACCTCACAGTTCAGGCTCTATTGGGTATCTTCATAAGCCACTAGTATAGGGCAAAAATAATCGGCTTACCTTTTCTTGCCTCCATCTCAGGACCTGAGTGAGGGTCCTGTGTGATGCATTAGCGCTGAGCCGAGGTGTTAAAACCCAGGCGGGGGGGAAGGGTGCTCTTTGAAGACCCCTGCACCAGATGCCTGCACCAGATGCCTTGGGCAGCTCAGCTGGCTGAGAAACCCGCCTTTGCTGCTCCACGCTTCCGGCACCTTCCCACCAGTCTACCTCACTCCACTCCCCCACATCCCCAGGGTGGGGACCCGAAGCCTGAGTTACTTTACAGAAGAATTTCTTTTTTGATTGGGCAGGACAAGCTGCGGGTTCTCTTTTCTTCGCATTGCAGTACCTGAGGGAAATGAAACAGTGGCAGCGTTGTAGCTTACCAGACACCACACAGCACACTGAACTGCTCACAAGACTGGCGGGAGAGGCACCCAGGCCCCTGGCGGCAGCCCCACCGCTGGCTGGAGGCTTGGCACGTGCCAAGTAGGACCAGCCTGTCATCAGCCAAGGTCAAGCAGAACCAGGCCCAGCCCTCCCAGCCACCTCAGGGGTACTGGCCTCCAGGCTCAGCGGCCCTGGCCTCTGCTGCTTCACCCACATTGAGCAACAGAGGGGCACTGGCATTGTCTTCCTGCCTGAGAGATCCTGACCGACCTGCAGCTCCATCCCAAAGACCTGGCTGTCGAGAGGTGGCGAGGAGGAGGAGGCCACCACCTCTGGATGACCATTGAACTGACCTGGGGTCAGCGCAGTTGGGTTTAGCTTTTCTCCTTGAGGTTCTCAGCCCACCCTGAGGCACTGCCCTGAGCAGGTGGTCCCGCCCCTCTCCATTCTCCTGTGCACAGTGCTCCCTTCCCCGGGTTTTCCTTTTGGGGGAATCTGATAGCACTCTTTCTCTAATGCTACCTGTGTGGTCTCTGGGGAGCTAAGGGCGCTGGGTGAAACCCTGTCTCTGGCAGTGAAGCTCCATCATCTGTAGCCTTCTGTGACTTGCAGAGAAAACCCAGCTTCCCCCAAAACAGAGAGGGGCACTAAATATAAGCTAGTATGCTCAAGTACCTCCCACAGTGCTGTGATTGGAGATGGCTTCGCCGGGCACTGCGCCTCTGGTTCCTCATGCCGTGTGCAGTCTTGCGAGGCCTGGGAGTGAGCCCAGAGCGCCGCGCGGCAGGAACACCCTGAGCATTACCAGCCATTGGTGTCACCCGCATTTAGACCTTGGTGTTTGCTTGCAAGCAAAAGCAGGAGCTAATTTGCAAGGCTGGCTTTGTGGAGCTGCCTTTTGATCAATGATTGCCTGTGTTAATGTTTCAGTAAGCTATTGATTCCTGCAAGAGCTTCTGTTCCCTGAATTTATGTTCAGCGGGCCTCCACAGCACACACTCTGCATGTTTGATTAAAGTTCAATCGACTTCGTTCCTGGTGAGCTCGTGAGCTGCTTCACTCCCTATTTGTAGAACCAAAGCGTTTCCTAACATATTCTTTTGTTTGTGCTCAAGACCTAGCCACCCATGCAGCCACCAGTATGCTGCTTCTAATCCTCCCAGATTCCCTTGGTAGCCATTACAGCTGCGGAGAGGCAGCTAATAAAAGCTGGCCTGGATTTGTTGTTCTTTTATCAACTTCATTGATATGTAATTGATGTATATACTCCTTATTGTACGTATTCAGTAAAAATGTACCCACTTTAAATGCACAATTCAGTAAGCATCTCTGTGACATAATGGTAACAGTCAATATCCAGACTGATTCCATAGTCTAGCCTGGTTATTGGGTTCTTTTCAGCTGTTTCCTGTCCCCCATGCCAGGCAGCCATGGCTTTGCTCCCCCCACCTTCCCTTTAAACAGACTCTATGCACCCTTCTTTGATTGCTTTCATTTGATAAGATGTTTTTGAGATTCATCCCTGTACTAAGTTGTTCTTTTTTATTGCCAAGTATTATTCCTATGAACAAGTATGCCAGAATCCAGTTATCCAGTTCTTTTGTTTGATAGGCATGTGTCTTCTTTCCATTTTAGAGCTACTAAGAATAACGTTTCTATGAATGTGTGTGCACAAGGCTTTGTGGGAGCATAGTTTTATTTCTTTAGGGTAAACAAGCTAGGCACAGAATTGTCAGGTAGTACAGTGGTGGGTATTTCACACTGTAGAAACGGCCAGCCAGTTGTTTTTGTGTGTGTGTGTGTGTTGGTTGTGGGGCTTGAACTCTGGGCTTGGGTGCTGTCTCTGTACTCTTCAGCTCAAGGCAAGCGCTCTACCACTTGAGCCAGTTTGCTAGTGGTTTATTGGAGCTTGAGCCAGTTTGCTAGTGGTTTATTGGAGATGAGTCTCACGGTCTTTCCTGCCCGGGGCTGGCTTTGAACCGTGATCCTCAGATCTCAGCCTCCTGAGTAGCTAGGATGACAGGCTTGAGCCACCGCCGCCCGTGCTAGCTAGTTTTTACAAAGTGGTTTGGCTGTTAGGTATTCTCAGCAGCAGTGTGTGCCGGTTCTGACCTTTCCTGAGTTTTAAAGAGTATTCTTTCATTTTATCAACCATGATTCCCAACCTGTCCTTTTGATTCTTGGTACTGAGAAGATAAAATCTCTTCTTGTTTGAAAGCTATTTCTCTTTTTAAAATTTTTTATTATTATTACAAAGGTAATGTACAGAGGGGTTACGGTTATGTAAGTCAGGTAATGAGTATATTTCTAAAAGCCGTTTCTTAAGTGTTGACAGAAAGTTGATGTTCATGTAATTGCTAGGTTTCTTTGGGGTCTGGAGTTTCTCACTTGACAGAACAGGTGTTAGGTAGAGAGCACTAGCTCACCTGTGCCTGGAATCTTCTTTCTATCTTGAGTCTCGCATTGGGTTTTAATCTCACAGAATTCTATCTTCTTTTTTATTCTACAAACTGTGCTGTCTTTTTAAACTGCTTTCATTTGCCTCTGGGAAGTAGAGGCGGTCAATTGTAACTGCATGAGGCAACACAGCGTGCACACAAATGCTGCTTCCAGTCTGGGGCTGCCTAGCTGCTTCGAGGAACTCTCCAGCCTCACAGAGGCCCGGCCACGTCTTCCCGCCTGGCTCCTGTTCTCCTCTTTTTGTTAGACCTTCTCTTGGCTCATGTGGCTCTTCCTCTTGCAGTGAAGCTTCTGTAATTCTTTTATTTTTATTTTTTTGTCAGCCATGGGGTTGAACTCAAGGCCTGGGCACTGTCTCTGAGCTTTTTCATTCAAGGCTAGCACTCTACCACTTTGAGCCACAGCACCACTTCCGGTATTCTTGGTGGTTAATTAGAGATACAAGTCACAGACTTTCCTGCCTGGGCTGACTTGAAACTTCAGTCCTCAGATCTCAGCCTCCTGAGTAGCTGGGATTACCTGCTTGATCCACCTTCACCCAGTCCTCTTTGGCTCTTGTTTCCAGTGTGCCCCAGGGCTTTAGCACCAGTGAGTAGCTTCATCTGGCACACTAGACACTGAACAAATAAAGGTGATCGAGCACATGGTGATGATGTCTGGAAACAGTGCTGTACTTGGCTGAAGGAGGTGGCTGTGTTCGCACAGGCTGGGGGTGGGGGTGGGGGGAGACGTGCGGGAGTTGTTCTCCTGGAGCATACCCTCACTGTTGCCAGAGCACTGTCACTGCCACCCAGCTTTCTACAAGGCCGGATGGAGACAGACGTGGCCCCGCCCCCGCCTACCCTCATGGGGCCTTGTGTCTTGCAGGGAGAACTGATCACCTTCTATTACTACTGGAAGAAGACCCCCGAGGCAGCCAGCTCCAGAGCTCACCGCCGCCACCGCAGGCAGGCCGTGTTCAGGAGGATCAAAACCCGCACTGCCTCCACCCCCGTCAACACACCCTCCAGACCCCCCTCCAGCGAATTTTGTAAGTGGGGAGGCCTGGGGAGAAGTTCACATGCAGCCAGTTCTGGGCCTGCAGGAGTGGATGGCCCAGACTATTGTGTGTGCATGTGTGTGTCTGGGCACACACGTGTGTGAAGCCTTACCTAAATGCAGTGCTGGCAACGGGTGGGAGGTTTTCACTAGAGAGAGTTTTAAAACCTGTTTGTATACCTAAGTATTTCTAATTAATTCACCATCATTTAAAGTTTTATAGAAATGTGAAGCTTACCCTAGGCATGTGGGGCCTTGGCCTAGAAGACTTCACATACACTGGTAATATGTGTGAGGTTTTGGTGGTAATAAGATCAGATGAGCCCGAGCTGGTGGCTCATGCCTGTAATCCTAGCTACTCAAGGAGGCTGAGATCTGAGGATTAAGGTTGAAAGCCAACCCTGGCAGGAAAGTCTGTGAGATTCTTTCTCTCCAATAAAGTCACTGAAAAAGCCAGAATTAGTGCAGTTACTCAAGTGGTAGAGTGCTAACCTTGAGCAAAGGGAGCTCAGGGTCAGTGCCCAGGCCCCGAGTTCAAGCCTCAGGACCAACCAAAAAAAAAACAAGATCAGAGAACACCCTTTGGGAAGGCCAGGCCCGAGCAGCATGCACACCAGTGACAGCCAAACGCTGCCCTCTCCTCTCTGGATGCAGCAGCAACGCCTTGCCTTCCAGCCTGAGACCATCTGTGTTTGTGCGTGCTGAGGACTGCCCATGAATGCCAGGACGGCGCTGTTCCCCCTTCAGTGTGCAGAGTGCCCCGCCACGAGGGCCCTCAAGCGCCGTGGACCTGGCTGTGGACCAGCTCTGCCGGAGCAGTCAGTGTAACGGTGTCTCCCTGTCCTGCTTGTGTGTCCCATACAGTGGACCTGAGCTCGGCCAGCGAGGATGACTTTGACAGCGAGGACAGTGAGCAGGAGCTGAAGGGCTACGCCTGCCGCCACTGCTTCACCACCAGTAAGTAGCTCGTGGTGCCCAGGGCTCCTTCACCGTGTGCTTCAGGTGGGAAAGCTGCCAGAAGCGGAGAGCATGACTGAGAAGCCCGAGTGTCCTCTGTCTTTGACTTCCCTCCCCTTTGAGTCATCGGTACAGGGAGAGCTGGGCTGGCCAGTGGGTAGGGGAATCCATTGAAAGCTGGGTGTGCATGGGTCCTGGAATTTGCTGCCATCTCCTCTGTGTGCCCCACGAGGAATGGGCTGCCCGGGTTGACGGAGGAAGAGCATCCAAGGGGGCTGTCTGGCTGTGCCCCGGGGGAGCCATGGGTCTGGGATTGGCACCTCCCCTCTTCACACAGCCTCTAAAGACTGGCACCACGGGGGCCGGGAGAACATCCTTCTCTGCACTGACTGCCGCATCCACTTCAAGAAGTACGGGGAGCTGCCGCCCATCGAGAAGCCGGTGGACCCCCCTCCGTTCATGTTCAAGCCTGTCAAGGAGGAGGAGGATGGGCTCAGCGGGAAGCATAGCATGAGGACACGGCGGAGTCGGGGCTCGGTGAGCTCCTGGCCCCGGAGGGAGGGAGTGCAGAGTTCAAGTTTAGGTAGAGAAACAGCCCCCTGGAAGCAGCGCTGTGCCTCTGGGAAGAGCATTTGGTCCTCTTCTTGGGGGCTTGGCTCTTCCTGGGTGGCCGCTAGGCTAGGTGGCCATGTGCTAACTCTAAAAACCTTTACCTGTTGCTCCTGGGCTGGTCACTTCCATCTTCAATGTGGCACATCTCCACTAGTTTATACTTTTTTTTCTTTTTTGGTGACAGTACTGGATCTTGAACTCAGGTTTGGGTACTGTCCCTGAGCCTTTTCGTTCAAGGCTGGTGCTCCACCACTTGAGCCACAGCTCTGCTTCCAGCTTGATGATGGATTACAGGCAAAAATCTCTTGGATTTTTTGCACTGCCAGCTTTTAGCTCCAGTCCTCTGATCTCAACCAACTGAGCAGCTCGGATTACAGGCCTGAGCTGCTGGAGCCTGGCGTACTTTGTACTTTTGCAGATTCACTTTCTCAAGCACCTGATCCTGCGTTAGAAACCTGTGGTACATGCTTCTCCTTGCTTCCCAGGCCTTTCACCACACCAGCACACGCTCCTCTTGCTTGATAAGTCTCTCACGAGAGGCTTTGTTTCCTTTATGTCTGGAAATATGGCAGGGACTATGGAAGAAGACCTTAGTGAAATGCTTGGGGTACGGATGTAGGGGGGCTTCTGCACAGGACTGACTTCCCAAAGGGTGAAGCAGGTGGGTTGGACAGCCCAACTCCTCTGCCTCTGCCTTCCTGGCAAAGCTCCAGGGCTCACCTGGTGGAAACGAGGGCTAGAGGAGCCAGCAGATGTCCTCTGCCTACATGCACCGTGGACAGCTCGGTCCCTTTGGATGGATTTCCAGCCTGTCTCATTATCTCTGCAAGTGGTGACGGGCAGGGTTGGAGAGTGGACAGGTTCAGGGGATAAATAGAAAGGGTAAGGTACTTTTAAGATGTCAAAGTAGCCAGCCCAGCCGACTTCCTGCCTGTTGCTCAGAAAACTTTGCTTATTTCCAGCACGAGTAGCTCAGGACACTGCTCAGAGATGAGTCTTGAGCTTTGAGAATTGCTTTCTTTTCAACGTGTGTATGCGTGTGCGTGTCCATCTGCCCATACCACCTCTGCTGTGGTGGGCTCGGGCGGGTTCCTGGGGACCTGGGGCCCACCCGCCCGCCTCACGGGCCTTTGTTTGGGGCACAGATGTCTACACTACGCAGTGGTCGGAAGAAGCAGCCCGCCAGCCCCGACGGCCGCGCCTCTCCCATCAGTGAAGACATCCGCTCCAGCGGCCGGAACTCCCCCAGCGCCGCCAGCACCTCCAGCAACGACAGTAAGGCCGACACGGTGAAGAAGTCAGCCAAGGTCAGGGGCCACCCGACCCCCTTCTCTTCCTCTCCTACCTCTCCATTCCCTTCTTCTGCCCACCTGCCTGACCCTTCCCCTTCTTCCCACTGGAAACTGGGCTGCCAGCTCTGGCATTCAGCTGCCTCAGATGTGGGCTCTTGGCTGCTTCTTGGGGCTTCTCTGAACATTTAACACTGCCCGAGCCTTGGGGCCTAGAGAAGGGGTTCCCACCAACCTCGCCCGCCAAGGTCTCAGAGACAGAGGTCCGAGACCGGCTGGAAAGCCCCGCCGCAGCCCCAGGTGTCTTCATCCCCACATTTTTTTCCTTCAAGTATATTTAAAAGTGAAAGGCAAACCCTGCAGGAAAGTAGACACTGGCCATCTGGAGAGGGGTCCAGAGAGGCGGTCCCTCCCCACTGGTGCCTTCCAGAGCTTGCTGGCTTCTGGAGAGGAAAGCCAGCTCAGGAGAAGGCCGTCTCCCTCCGCCCGCGCTGACGCTGCTTCCTTGCTTGGGTGGGGGTGACACTGCAGAAGGTGAAGGAGGAAGCCTCGTCCCCTCTCAAGAGCACCAAGCGCCAGCGGGAGAAGGTGGCCTCGGACACCGAGGAGCCCGAGAGGACCAGCTCCAAGAAGACCAAAACCCAGGTGAGTGCCCAGGCCTGGCCGCTCCTTCAAGGCCCCTGCCCGCATCCCCTGCATGATGGTGTCCTCTGGCTCCTGAGGGGCCAGGCCTCGGCCACGAGGGACAGAGTTGTCTCACCCCGTCCTTCCCTTCTCCCTCCTCTGGGTGTAGGAGGTCAGCCGGCCCAACTCCCCCTCTGAAGGCGAAGGAGAGAGCTCGGACAGCCGAAGCGTCAACGACGAGGGGAGCAGTGATCCCAAAGACATTGACCAGGACAATCGCAGCACATCCCCCAGCATCCCCAGCCCTCAGGACAATGAGAGCGACTCCGACTCCTCTGCGCAGCAGCAGACGCTGCAGGCCCAGCCCCCCGCCCTGCAGGCCCCCTCGGGGGCCCCTCCAGGAGTGCCCCAGCTTCCTACCCCTGGCCCCACCGCCTCTGTCCCCGCCATCCCACCCCAGGGCCCCGCCGCAGCCCCGCAGGCCCCGGGCCAGCCGCAGGCGCCAGCCGCATCCGCTGTCCACGCGCACGTCCAACAGGCCCCCACCCTGCACCCGCCGCGCCTGCCCTCTCCTCACCCCCCCCTGCAGCCCCTGACAGGCCCTCACGCACAGCCCCCGCTACATGGCCAGGGCCCCCCTGGGCCCCATGGCTTGCAGGCAGGGCCCCTACTCCAGCATCCCGGGCCCCCTCAGCCCTTCGGCCTCCCTCCCCAGGCCTCCCAGGGCCAGGCCCCCCTGGGCAGCTCCCCCGCAGCGGCTCACCCTCACAGTGCTCTGCAGCTCCCCGCCTCTCAGGCTGCCCTGCAATCCCAGCAACCCCCGCGGGAGCAGCCCCTGCCGCCCGCGCCCCTAGCCATGCCCCACATCAAACCCCCGCCCACCACGCCCATCCCCCAGCTCCCCGCGCCCCAGGCCCACAAGCACCCCCCACACCTCTCAGGGCCCTCCCCCTTCTCCATGAACGCCAACCTGCCGCCCCCACCTGCCCTGAAGCCACTCAGCTCCCTGTCCACCCACCACCCGCCCTCAGCCCACCCTCCACCCCTGCAGCTCATGCCCCAGAGCCAGCCCCTGCCCTCCTCCCCGGCTCAGCCCCCCGGGCTGACCCAGAGCCAGAGCCTGCCCCCCTCTACTGCGGCCCACCCCCCTGCCAGCCTCCACCAGGTGCCCCCCCAGTCCCCGTTCGCTCAGCATCCCTTCGTCCCTGGAGGCCCTCCTCCTGTGACCCCACCCTCCTGCCCGTCCACCTCCACCCCTCCCGCGGGACCCAGCGCCCCCGCACCGCCCTGTCCTGCCGCTGTCTCCAGTGGCCCTGGGGGTGCATCCTGCCCGCTGCCCACCGTCCAGATCAAGGAAGAGGCTCTGGATGAGGCCGAGGAGCCCGAGAGCCCTCCCCCACCCCCCAGGAGCCCCTCCCCTGAGCCCACCGTGGTGGACACTCCCAGCCATGCCAGCCAGTCTGCCAGGTACGGTTCACCTGTGGGGAGGATTTCAGGGGAGGCCAGGCTGGTGAGGCCCGGGATGGGCCCCGAGCCAGAGCTGTGGCCTTTCTAGGTTCTACAAACACCTGGACCGGGGTTACAACTCGTGTGCACGGACAGACCTGTACTTCACCCCCCTGGCCGGGTCCAAGCTAGCCAAGAAGAGGGAGGAGGCTGTGGAGAAAGCCAAGCGGGAGGCCGAGCAGAAAGCCCGAGAGGAGCGAGAGCGAGAGAAGGAGAAGGAGAAGGAGCGGGAACGAGAGCGGGAGCGGGAACGGGAGGCCGAGCGTGCAGCCGTGAGTCTGGGGGCGCAGGGGCACTGTGTACAGCGTGCCAGCCCATGTGGTCTGCCTGGCACACGCCGGCGGCCATGGCCCAGGGAGGCTGTCCCCAAGCCGAGGGCCTCGTAGGCTGCGGTCTCTTCTGCAGCCTGGAGATGGGCACTACTTCCGGGGGTCCGCTCAGGAGAACCAGGCGGGGGTGGGGGGCATTCTACCAGCATCTATCCCATGATCCTTCTCGTGGACTGAGCCACCCAGCACCCACTTCTTTAGGAGGAAAGGAAATAGAAAATGGGCCTTGTGGTAGGCCTTCCTCCCCTCCCCCCGTCTTGCTGCTGTCTTAGGGGTACACAGCCCCCCCTAAGGTTCCAGGGGTGCTGTGGGCACAAATGAGACAGACTCCCTGCAGGGCCGGAAGCGTGTCGGGATCCAGCACAGCTGGAGCCCCGTCTCCATGTTCGAGTCCCAGGCGGACCGGCGGTGTGGGGGGCTGTGTGGTGAGCCCCAGGCTCGGCCTCAGCGCGCTCTCTCTCAGCAGAAGGCGTCCAGCTCCGCACACGACGGCCGCCTCAGTGACCCCCAGCTCAGCGGCCCTGGCCACGTGCGGCCCTCCTTCGAGCCGCCGCCGACCACCATCGCCGCCGTGCCCCCGTACATCGGGCCCGACACGCCTGCCCTGCGCACCCTGAGCGAGTACGCCCGGCCCCATGTCATGTCGCCCACCAACCGCAACCACCCTTTCTACATGCCCCTCAACCCCGCCGACCCCCTGCTGGCCTACCACATGCCGGGCCTCTACAACGTGGACCCCACCATCCGCGAGCGGGAGCTGCGCGAGCGGGAGCTGCGCGAGCGGGAGATCCGCGAGCGGGAGCTGCGCGAGCGGATGAAGCCGGGCTTCGAGGTGAAGCCCCCCGAGCTGGACCCTCTGCACCCAGCCACCAACCCCATGGAGCATTTCGCCCGCCACAGCGCCCTTACCATCCCCCCCGCAGCCGGCCCCCACCCGTTCGCCTCCTTCCACCCGGGCCTGAATCCCTTGGAGCGGGAGAGACTGGCCCTGGCCGGGCCCCAGCTGCGGCCCGAGATGAGCTACCCAGACCGGCTGGCCGCCGAGCGCATCCACGCCGAGCGCATGGCGTCGCTCACGGGCGACCCGCTGGCCCGCCTGCAGATGTTCAACGTGACTCCTCACCACCACCAGCACTCGCACATCCACTCCCACCTCCACCTCCACCAGCAGGACCCCCTCCACCAAGGTGCGTGCCGCCGCCACCAGGGGGCACTCAGCACACGGGCCCAGGTGCACCTGCTCCTGCTCCTGCTCCTGCCTCTGCCTCTGCCTCTCCCTCTTCCCTCCCCCCACGAGAGCGGGCTTGAAGGAGGGGAGCCACACCAAGCCGGTGGCGGTGGCTTGAGGGAGGGGCGAGGATTTGAAGCCCAGGACAGGAAGTGGCCCGACCTGCTCTGAAAGGAGAGGGAGGCCACCGCATTTGCTGCCCCCAAAACTGGACCTGCTCTGCAGCTGGGCCAGGCTCATCTGTGTTGGCCGAGCTATGCCCCAGACCGCCGCCAGGGGGCACTGCAGAGCTGCCCTCACACCAGGGCTCTGGCGAGGAGGGAGGCAGCCCAGCCCTCGCACCGCACCGCCCACATCTGGACTTGTGCTCTTTTCCTCAGGTTCCGCAGGCCCAGTGCACCCCCTGGTGGACCCCCTGACTGCCGGCCCTCACCTGGCTCGCTTCCCCTACCCTCCGGGCACCCTCCCCAACCCTCTGCTCGGACAGCCTCCTCACGAGCATGAGATGCTACGCCATCCAGTTTTTGGTGAGAATTCAGCCGAGGATGATGGGGCTGCGTGTCGTGGGCTGGGCTGTCCTCCCGAGGCCTCCTCTGTGTTCAGTGTCAGTCTGCACTGCTGTGTGCAGCGGGGCCCCGTGGGGACAGAGCAGACGCCCCCCTGGGGAAGGCCTAACACGGGAGCGGAGCGGAGCAGCCTTCCAGGAGCGCGGGGGACGCAGGGCTTCTCCAGGCCTCCTGCTCCCTGGAGGCCCCGCAGGCGCTCTCTGTGACCTGTGTGTCTTTGGCAGGCACTCCCTATCCTCGAGACCTGCCTGGCGCCATCCCGCCTCCCATGTCAGCGGCCCACCAGCTGCAGGCCATGCACGCCCAGTCAGCCGAGCTGCAGAGACTGGCCATGGAGCAGCAGTGGCTGCATGGACACCCCCACATGCACGGCGGCCACTTACCGAGTCAGGAAGATTACTACAGGTGAGGGGGGGTGTCTGACAGGCCACGTGCAGGAGAGGAGGCAGCGGGTATAACTTCTGGGTGGGAGGCCATGGCGCAGGAGGCCTTGCTGGGCGGGGGTCCTCAGAGCAGCAGGTAGCCCCTGCCTGCCACCTGCCCAGGCCAACATTTCTTTTTCTTTTCTCCCTTCTCTTCCAGTCGACTGAAGAAAGAAGGCGACAAGCAGTTATAAGTTATTTATTTGTTAATGCTGGCTGTGGGAACCCCAGTTTTGGGGACAGAAGCGGGACTTTTGGCATATATTAGGAGCTGCAAAAGCAAAAAAAAAAAAAAAAAGTCTTCTAAAGATTTCTTTATATATTTAAAAACCCCACAACTAAAAATGTGTCTGCATACTAGCGTTGGTTTGTCAAAAGGATTTCCTGAGGCTGTTTGGGTCTCTTGCATGACAGTCCCCCAGAAGCTTAGTGAGTCCTGGACTAGACCGAACACCCACAAATTTCCCTGCCATCTTGGGGTTTGGCTTTGGTTTTCTTTTCTTTGATTCCTCGGTAGGTGCTAGAATCCGTTCACACCCTTCACTGTGCGTGCAGACACCGAGTCCCGGTCCTCCGGCCCGCGGTGTGCAGGTAGTGGCATATGAGGTAGAATCCAAGAGCTATAATTTTTAAAAAATCTTTTATTTTAATACATTGTAGGAAATCTTCATAATTTGAGAAAGTCCTGCAGCATGGCTTTTTACATCTGTAAATAAGTAATTTTAGAACAGTTTTTTCCCCGTTCCACAAACGACTATTCTGATCTATTTTTTCCAGCCATGTCACTAATTGTGAATTCCTACCAGCTATTGACAGAATACAGAGTTGATTTTTTAATAAAAAGTTATATATAATTATCCCTTTAATTAAAGGGAGCAGATGGGCGTTACTGATGGTACGCGGACAGGAGCTGGAGCTGGGGGTGAGGTGTGGCCCAGCAGAGGGCGGCAGGGCGGCAGCGCCCGCCCTCCCTGCTGCGGGCTCTGCTTGGGTCTGGCGCTCACTCGTGCCTCGAGGGAGCGGGCTTCCTGCCTTGTGCGCAGGAGGCGGGTGCTGGCTTTCGGTTGGGCACACATCTGTGTGTGTCTGTGGTAGGTTTCCGTAGTTCTATGCACACACATTGATTTGTTCTGGATACATTGCCTTTTTGAATCTTCTGGAAAATTTCATAAGCAGGCTAGAGAATTCAAGAAAGCGATTCCGCACAAGTAAACTCAGCCCGGGAGAGACCCAGGACATAAGCTTGCCAAAGGAATCCATTGGGAGTCCGCCCTTCATGTGTGTCATCGTGTGGATGTTGTGGAGGGGACCAGGCAAAGGCAGCCTTGCCGTGCACCGGGGCGCCCTGGGGCTCGCCCCCCTCCCCCTTGGATGCCAGCTGCAAAGCTCCATCAGGAAGCAGGTGCCCAGCTTGCCAACCCAAAGGGGTTGGCCACCCCCACTGCTGACAGCGCCATGCCCAGAGCTGAGGGCGGTCATCAGCTGGGCAGGGCCACTGCCCGGACTCCCGACCCACACTGTCCTAGGCATTCTCCTGTCTGGCAGTCATCTTGGTGGAGCCCTGGCTGGCCCTTTCCTGGCTCCGTGCGTGGCTCCTGTCGGGACAGAGGGCGTTGTCTGTTGAAATGTCGTTTGGGTTTCTTTTCTTTCTTTCTTTCATTTTCTCATTCCATTTCTGCCTTAACTTTAGTTCCTTAGGGGAGGCAAAATCACATTAACTCTTGGTTACGCAGACTGCTGGCAGCTTTGGCGTGGGGGTCAGGTGCCCTCTGGGGGGTGGAGGGTCAGCCTCTGGGCTTCTCTGGCTCTCCGGGAAGGCCTCTTCCCACTGGGCACTGGACAGGCCCCAGGCTGCCACTGCTGTCCCTTGTCCTTTCCCTCTTCTTAGCTGAATCTACCACTCAGATCTTCCAGCTCCTCTCTATTACCCGTTTTTCCAAAGAGCAAGAGGGAAGTGCTTTGAAGTCTGTACTGGAGCCGTGGGAAGTGTTTCCTCTGTATGTTCTGGGTTCCTCCCTCGCCCCGTGAAGCACCCGACCCTTCCATTCCCAACACCTGCAGCCCAACGCCCCGGCGACTCCATAGCTCCTCCAGGAGGCCCTAAACCGTGTGATGTCTGTCAGGCCCAGCCGCCTGGCTTCCTTTTGGATTTTCCTTTTCTTTGAGGTTTGATTTTGCGTTCTGTGTTCCGTACGTATCTTGTTCAGTGTCGTCGATGAGCTTCGCGTCTCACCGCAGCGGAAGCAGAGCAGAATACTTTCTGGTTTGCTGGGTTTATATAGATCTTGAAGCTAAGTGTATATATGAGTAGTTTGCCATGAGATAACACAGTGTAAGCAGAGTAGACACCCAGAAATCGTGACTTCTGTGTTCTCTCCATTTTGAGTATTTTGTAATTTTTTTGAAATACTTGTGGACATAAATAAAACCAAGCTACACTACACCAGCAGTGTGGACCAGCGCAGTGTCATTCGTGGAGCGGGGGTTGGGCCCTGGCTGCTGCCGGCCTTCACCCCGCCAGGGCCAGCCAAGGCCAGAGAACCCTGCCGTTCCCGCCGGGGACCCTGCCGGCCTCGCAGACACCAGTGTTCTGACCAAGAGTACCACCCTGCCCGCCCCCCTGCTCACCCCACTCCCGCACGGCCTAGCCCGAAGAAGATGCCAGGTCGGGGGTGGATAAGGAAGGTGCTGCAGTGGCCTGCAAGGGGCATGTATGGCCACCAGGGGGCAGGCGTCAGCCGTGGATTCCCCTCAAGTTTGTCCCTGGCTTCAGCGCTTGCTGGTCTCCCAGGGTGCTCCACATGCAGCTCCACTGTGGCCACCACCGGCCATACATCCATCCGCCCAGGGGGCTGACACCCAGGTGGAGGCCTCCTGCCCACCCTGGTGCTGCAGACATCAGCCCTCGGCGTGGGCTCCCGGGCCCTGCCACCCCTGCGCACGCTGCAGCAGGTGGACTGAGGAGAAAGGGAGAGGATGACTTGGGGGCTGCCGAGGCCCTCCTGGCCTCCTCCACGCAAGCAGGAGACCTGCGGATACGCCCATTAGCAGGGCCGCCAGCCTGCTGGGCAGGCTGTGAGCAAACCGCCTGTGCTTGTCTCCAACCCAGACCTCTGTCAGAATAGAACCCGTGACAGACACATTTGAGGCTCGTGCTGCAGGTCCTCCCTCTGAAGAAGGGCAGAGCCAGTGTGTCCGCGGTGGTCCCTGCCCCCCCCCCCCCCGGAGCAGCAGGAGACCGCACCTGCGCAGCTGACTGGAACGGGGGTCCAGAGCCGCAGGTTGGAGCAGGGATGCCGCAGAGTCCGTCAATGAGCTCATGCCTCCCTGGTGGTCCCAGAGCAGCTCCAGCCCCAGCCCCACTGAGCCCCGCTGGGCGTGGGTTGCTGCTTCCCCCGGGGACACATGCCCCTGGAGGCTCAGTGCTGCTCCAAGAGCTCCGACAGCTCAAGTTCTGGCTGGGACACTTGGTTCCTCCCACCCGTGGTGACAGTTCGTGGAGTGGTCATTGGTTCCTTGACCTGTCAGAGGCCAGGCTGATCTCCCCTGCACAGCTCTGCTCATGGGCAGCGTGGCTGGCCCTGTCCTGGTGTCTTGGTAATGGGCAGACCCTGTGTGTAGAAGGGCCTTGCCTCTTTCTCGCTGGATAGTAAATGGGGGTGTGGTGGTTGGATGATGGATGGCAGGGTGGATGAGTGAATGAATGGTGGGTGATGGACAGGTGGATGGATGGGTGGAGGATGGATGGGTGGATGGGCCCTGCAGCGGTGTGCTCACATCAAAGGCATGAATAGCCAGACAGCTCCTCCGAGGGAGCCAGGCGCCCACGGCTGACCTCCCTCCCCAGTTTTTCCTATTCTTGCTGCCCCCGACAACCATGCCTATCCTCGGGGGTTCAGACCTGGTGGATTCCATCCTTGGGACGGATGTCCCGAGTGATGGTTACATTTGAGGCAGGACTTGCGTGCAGTTCCTGCTCAGGCTGCGGGAGGCTGTGATCAGCTATGCATCTGCCGGCACTCCCCGTCACTCTGGTCCTGGTCCTGGCCACCAGGTGGCAGTGGTCACAGCCCAGGTGTCTGTCCTCTGGAACCCTCAGGTGAATGTGGGAGATGTGTGGATTTGTCGGGGGCGGGGGGAGGGAGGGCCTGGGCAAAACGGCAGCTGGAAAAGGTCACCGCAGAGCAGGGCTGTGGTGGCGGGCGGGGGGGGGGTGCTGTGCCGTGCTGGGGGGGAGGGGAGAGGGCCCTGACACTGATGAGGGAGAAGCAAAGGCTGTGCGCACAGGTGGTGTCTTTTGCTTTCTGCCAGACCTCAAAGCCTAGGCAAAAATTGGGGTTTGCACCACAACCCTCCCTACCTGGAGCGTATGAAGGCTGTGATCTGAGGCTCACAGTTCGAAGCCAAACCCAGGCAGGAAAGTCTGCGAGACTCACCTCCAATCTACTACCAAAACTCTGGAAGTGGAGCCGTTGCTCAAGTGGCTCAAGCGAGAATGGCCAGGCCCTGAGCTCAAGCCCCATGACTGGTACTGAAAAAATACAAAAACCACAGCTAGGGGCTGTCCCTGCCCCTGCAGTCCCCGGTGAGTAGCAGGAGAACGGGGGTCCTTGTGTGTTCTCGGGGGACAGTCGGGAGCAGCTCTGATTCCAGCTGTACAGCTTTAGTTTCGTGTCTAGTGGCCCGAGTGGGATGATGGGAGGGCCGGGGCCGCTCTGCCCCTGTCCCGGCCCCGCGTTTGCTGCTAGGGAGCAGCTCGCGGATCTGTGAATGGGGTGGGCGCGTCCCTCCTGATGTGGTAGCAGGTTCGGGGCACTGCCCTCGGCGGCTGCATCTCCATCCCCACTCAGGTCAGCAAGGAGCTGAGAGGTGGGGTGCAGCTCGTGGACTGGCGGCGGTGGCCCCCACAGCTCTGGAGGAGGAAGACCACCCTCCACGCTGCCCTGCCCAGCATCCCTGGGCAGACTTCAGAGCAGAGGCCTGGGGCCATGCACGCCCTCGTTGAAACCATCCTCTCTGCTTTTGAAGCTGGAGGGAGGAGGACCGGGATTAGAGGCCACCGTGATGGGGCCGCCCCAAGCCTCTCCCCATTCTCAGCAAAAGAGTGGAGGCAGCCACGCACATTCTCAGAAAGCTAAGCCACCTCCCCAAGCAACGTGTGCGTGGGAGACGCGTCCACAGATCCAGGGAAATGAGGAAACATCAGGAGGCCGCTCCAAGGAGACTCCAGGCCGGTCAGGGACTCCCTGTGCTTCTCTTGGGCGTGGGGGCCGCCTCCCGCGGTGCCACACATACAGGGTAGGATGGCAGCTGAAGGCAGAGAAAGGACCACCGCCCCAAGTGGGAAGCTGGGCGGGGTCGGCCGTGGGCGTGCAGAGTGGGCTCAGGTGGTCGCTCACTCCTCAGAGTGGGTGCAGCGTGTCGGTCGGCCAGGTGTCCTGGGATGAGGCGGGGCCTAGCCTCGGTCTACAGTTCTTCCTGCTGCAGGGAGATGGAACGTTGGTCCAGCAGGGCAGCAGGTGGTCACGGGACAGTGATGGTGGAGGTGGAAGCCCGAGCCCAAGAGCCAAGAGAAGAGGCCGAGGCACGTGACAGAGGCCAGGGCTTTCCTGCCTCTCTGCCTCCCCCTAGCCAGCGCAGCCTGTATACTCTGGCTCCCAGCAGGACCCAGGTGTCTGCCCACGAACTGCGGAAGAGGAGGCATCCTGCCTTCAAGTTGGGGGGCAGATGGAGTTGATCAGGAGGTCCCCCTCATTCCTACTTCTCTGGGCATCTCCGGGCCTGGGGTCCCTCCCTCAGAGATGGCTCCCTCCCTCAGAGCACTGCTCCAGGAGTCTCACGCAGGGCTCGTGCAGGCTGAGTGCCTCAGGCTTTACCTGTGGACGGATACCTGTCACTTGCAGCCGGTCCCCGTCTGCCACTGCTTCCCGGAGCCAGGGCACCGGCTGGGTGTTTATGGGGTACGTGCACTGGTGGGTAATGAAACGCCTGAGGCTCAGCCTGTGGCCAGGGGCGGCGGGAACCTCAGCCAGTGCCGGGCAGCATGGCCAGAGTGGGTGGAGGAAGAAGATACCTGCTGCCAGCAAGCGCAGAGTGGAAGGGCTGAGGGGCTAAGATCCCCTTCCGGGGCGTGCCCCGTGACCCTACTCCCCCCCCCCAGCCCCTCTTGGAGCCCCCTCACGTCCTGACTGCTGTGGGCTGGGGACTACGTGGTCCCATGCGGGCCTCCGGGAGACACTGCAGATCAAACCACAGCAGGTGGGCACAGGGGTGAAGGGATGAACGAGTAAACGAATGATCGGGCCTCCCCCTGCACAGCGCAGCATGCAGAATCTGTGTCCTCAGCTCTGTTAGCACCTAGGACTCGGGAATTCTTTGTCACTGGAGCCTGTGTGCACGTGGGACGTGTGCGTGCACCCCCCCACACACACATACGATGGCCGCGGCGGCCACCTGAGTGGTAACAACGGAACCCATGTCCAGACCCTGCCACAGTCCTAGGGAGGGGTGGCACAGTCACCCCAGATTGAGAACTGCACCAAGATAGCCTTCCTTTTTGTTTCTCCTTTGCCTCACCCGTGCCAGGCAGGCACCTGAACCACCCCCCCAGCCCTTTTTGCTTCCGTTTTTGATTACAGGAGTGAGCCACCATGCCTGGCCCACACCTTCACTTCCACCAGTAACCTGTATCCTCCCGCTGCTCAAGTCCCCTGGCAGCAGCTCAGTCCCCGGCGACCTCACACCAGAGGGCGGCTGAAACTGCAGGCTTGCTGCTGTCCATTTATTTTACCTAGTATTTACATCTCACCGGAAGCTGCCCCGACCCCCCAAAGCCTGGGGTTCCTGGGGGAGGTGGGGTGGCTGCCGTTGGCCCTGCACAAGTCCAGAGTCCGGGCTGGGAGGGGGGGGCCGTCAGACGTTGAGCAGGAGAGGCTGGTACTCCTGGTCCCCCGTGTCACCGGCAGGGAGCTCGTAAGTGACAAACAGGGATGAATAGAGGCAGCCCAGGAAGGACACAAGGCTGGAGAAGTACATCACCCCCGTGGCGCTGCCCACGGCCGAGGTCAGGGGCCCCAGGACCAGGGAGACGAGGATCTGGGCCAGGAAGTACTGGCAGCTGAGCAAGGAGATGTCCACGCCCATGCCCCGGCGGCCGCCGTCCGCCCCGGACCCTGCGAACTGAGAGATGGGGCGTCAGTGCCATGCCACAGCCCAGCCCGGAGGCCTGCCCCCTCCCGCCCTCCACTGCTCCCTGGGGACAGCTGCCGGGCTGAGGCTCCGCCTCCACTCCCCGCACTCCACCAGTCAGCCCAGGATGCACCGCAGCACTCCCCTGGGCCCTCCCAGAGCAGCCAAGGCTGGGATCCCGAGACGCACAGCTCCGCTGGGGTGGGGGGAACGAGGGGGAGCCTCTGGGATCCTCCCCAACCACTGCGCAGAGGAGCAGCGATGTGGCAGGGCCAGCACGGGCCAGCCTGCAGGGTGTGGCACCGCTGTCCGGGCAACTCTGTCGCTGTGGGCACAGTGCCACCCACAAGGCGTGGTCCTCAGACCTCTGTCTGCGTGACAGGGACAGGTTCCGCCAACGTTTCCCTTTTGCTTCAGACGCCCATGTGGCCAGGCCCAGCGCCCAGCCCTGCCCCGCCGGCCTGTTTAAAATGGTGCTGTCTTATGTAGGTGCACGTGGGACATCCATTCTGTCTTTGGGTTTGTGCCAGTCTGGGGGCTTGAACGTGGGGCCTGGGCCCTGTCCCTGAGCTTTTTGTTTTCATTCTTCTCCAAGCTAGAGCTCTACCACTTAAGCCACGGCTCCACTTCCAGTTTTTATGTGATACACTGGAGCTAGGAGTCCTGAGGATTTTCCTGTCCAGGCTGGCTTTGAACCAGGGACCTTAGCTCTCAGCCTCCTGAGCAGCCAGGATGACAGGTGTGAGCCACGGCGCCTGGCCCATTCTGGCTGTTTTGCCATCGACGCTGATCACTGGGTTTTCGTGCCTCACCTCCCATCCTCTAAGCCTGGCCCTGAGTCTCTGCTACTAACACGGGACCTGGAAGTGGGCTGGGGAAGGGGCAGGGCAGGCCTCCCGCCTTGCATGGAGGCGGCTGGCGGGGGGACACTCAGGAGGGCTCACTGCATCTTCCCCATGCTGGGGCGGGGCCTTGGGGAAGTCCCCCAGACACATGCCACCGGAAGTGCTCACCTTCTTGCTCTGGTAGTAGTCGCAGAGCAGCGAGTAGGGCAGGGTGCAGAGCGTGGAGAAGAGGACACCATAGGTGACGCAGAGGGACAGGACCACGTAGAGGTTCCGGGAGAGCGTGGCCAGCCCAGTGCCCAGGCCAAAGGCGAGGTAGGCGATGAAGTAGAGGGTGCGGATGCTCAGCCGCTCCTCCAGCTTCTCCAGGATGGCTGTGGACGGGCGGGGTGAGCGGGGATGCGGGCTCACGGGCTCACCCCTGACTAGAAGGTATTTCTGCCCCAGGAATACACAGGATGGAAGGCAGGACCCACTGCCCTTTCACCCAGAAGATTTGGGGGTTCAGGGGTAGAGGCTGAGGTTGACGATCGCAGAGTCCCAGTGGGCCAGCAGCCACATGCTCTTCCTCACCTCCTCCTCCAGTCAGCCAGAGAGGCGACAGGTACTGCGGTGTGAGCTCAGGGCCCAGCACGCGCCCACGGACGCCCACTCCAGCCCCACCATCCGCCCTCTATGGGTATTATTTTCTGCATAGGATCTCACACTTTATTCTGGGCTAGCCTCAGACCTCCATCTTCCTCCCTACCCTGCTGTGTGTAGTGCTGCCTACAGGTGTGGACCACCACATCCCACTGAGATGAGATCTTACTCGTTTTCTGCCCGGTTGTCCATCTCTGCCTCCCTAACGGCTGGGATCCTAGGCAGGTGCCATCTCGCCTTACAGCGGAGATGAGGGCTTGGCTAGCGCCGCCGGGCTGGCCTCACACCTGTATCTTCCTAGCTCTGCCTCTTGGGTAGCTGGGCTGACAGGCAGATGCTTAATGAGCCTCCACCGCCCTCCGGGGCCCCCGGCGCAGCGCGGCGCCGGCTGTACCTGAGTAGAAGGCAGCGCTGAAGGCGTAGATGCACAGGCCCCAGCAGCCCACCGTCACGCCGCGGTTGTACTTCTGGTACGCCTCGGACGCGTGGGGCGCCTTCGGGTCCCCCTGGAACACCACCTCGCCCATGAAGTCCGTGTAGAAGAGCAGCATGCCCTCGAACGACAGCCACCCTGGAGGGAGGGAGGGAGGAGGCCTCAGAGGCCCGGCCTTTACCTAGCACAAAGACCAGGCGGCTCGGGGCTGTCACCCAGCGAGCTCAGGAGCTTCAAGGGCATCCGTGGAGAGCTCCGTGGTTGGGGGTGAGGAAGCGCTGTGGAACATGGGGTCCCCTGCTTAACCGCCAGGAGTCTTGGGGGTTTGGGCCTGTGAAGCCCTAGGTGTAGGGCTGCTTGGGAGGTGGAGAGCCCGAGCCGTGGGTGGGCGGGCGTCCACTCGCAGCCCAGGCCCCCCCGCCGCCCTCAGTGCTGTCTGGAGCCCGGAAGTGAGGCCCGGGAGGCAGGGGGCGGGGGGAGGCTCAGGGAGCGAGGTCTGGAAAGCGAGGCCTGGGAGACGAGGCCCAGGGAGTCAGCCAGAGAGGCGAGGCCCGGGGGGCGAGGCCCAGGGTGGAGGCCCCGCGCTCACCCAGGAAGTGATTGAGGCACAGGCTGCGCAGCGCGGCCGGCATGTGGCAGATGGTGGCGCAGAGGCGGCGCAGGGACAGCGGCTGGTCGGCCGGCTCGCCCGCGCCCGGCAGCTCGCTCTCGTACTTCACGCCGTTCAGTAAGATGTTGGCCACCTGTGCGGGCAGCGAGACGTCAGCCCTGGGCCGCGGCCCGGCCGGGCCCCGCGCC